TATTATTTCAACCCAAAAAGATAACGGATGCTTTGAATTGAGTGAAAATGTTATCAAGGAATTAGATGCTCCTAAAACACAAGTTATAGAAACCGTACAAAAATATACTACCAATGAGAAGTTAAAGAAACCCGAATCATCTGAATGGTGGTCAACAGCCCTGACTCTTTCATATCTTAAGAATGCCGCTTCTCAATACGAAGGAGAATGGAAAGAAAAATATGGCAAGTCACTAAAATATCTTTCTGAACAAATCGGGAATAGAGCCAAGAAAGAATTAATAGACTGTACTGACAAATATGTTGTAGATAATATTACCAAGAAAGTTATTGTGGAGAAAAAGAAAACCGCTGTTATTGCGATCCAATCTGATACAACACCCAAAACTATTGAGACTGTGACTTCCACTCAAAAGAAAGATGGTTCATTTGAAATCAGTGAAAAAATGACAAAAGAACTTGATATTACTTCCTCCAATGACCTTATTACCTCGGCTCAAAATTTTGTCACTAATGACAAACTCAAATCTGTTGACTCCTCCGTGTGGAAAACTGCACTTACTCTTGGTTATCTTAATATAGCTGCACCTCATCATGAAAGTGACTGGAAAGATAAATATAATAAAGCTCGAGAATACCTCTCCTCTAAAATTTGTAATCTAGAAGCAGAGGAAGAAATAATTAAGGCATCAAATAAAATAATAGTAGAAAAAATAACCAAAAAAATTAATAATGAACATAAGGTTGCAGCAATTGAAGTCATTAAATTAACTACTACACCCAAGATCATTAAAGAAATCGTTTCGGCTCAAAAAATGGATGGACAAATTGAACTGAGCGAAGCTATCTTAAAAGAATTAGATGTCCCCTCTACTCAAACTCTAGTAACCGCTGTTCAAACATATACCAAAAATGAAAAACTTAAGAAAACCGAATCAGCTTCATGGTGGTCCACCGCCATTAATCTCAGCTATCTCGAAAATGCAGCACCCCATCACGAAGGTGAATGGAGAGATAAGTACAATAAAGCCCGAGAACATCTCTCTATCCAAATTTTTGATTTCGAGACAGAGAAAGAATTATTAGAAGTCGCTGACAAATATTTAATTGATAAAGCAACATATAAAGTTATCGAGGAACATAGACAGGAGGTCGATGATATCAAAAAGGAAGAATAATCGGTTAATCATAATATTTTTAATAAACAAATTTTAAAGTAATTACAATATTTTGCTTTATTTTATTTTTATTTAATGTATAAATTTTTTGGGGGAATTTAGAATTTGAGGATTCAGAGATAAAAAATATTTAACTCAAAAATATGATTTTACACATTTAGTTAAATGAAATTTAAATAGTATTTATTTATACATATGATATTTGTACAATTTATTATTTATGCGATTTACTATTTATATAAATATTTTTTAGATTTGGCTGAGCAAGAGAAAATGAGAGAGCTAGCACACAACAACAATGATGAAGAAAATATTCAATTATAAATTTAATATTATTTATTATTTATTTTTTATTATTTATTTATTCAATATTATGTATCATTTTTGTTTGTATTATTTTGTTTATATTTAACAAACAAAGCATTCTTTCTGAAATTTTGATAGGGATTTCCTTTAATAAGATTTTTTTTTACATCGTGTGGACATATTTGCAAAAAAAAAAGTCACTTACTTCGCTTGCGGTAGTAAAATTGTATTAATTAATCTTAGTTTTTAGGTGAATCATTTCACCAGAAATTGATATTATGTAACGATAAATCATTTGTAATATGAGGTTTTACCTTGTGAGGTTAAATTATATTCACGTTAAAATCCTTTATCTGAGTTTTTTCTCAGTTTCTACTTCGAGAATTATGCGGATTACTTCAACAGAAAAGGTAGATAACAAAAAAAAAAATTGATTTTATTTATAATTTATTTCTTTAATTGTGATTTCATAATTTTAATTCAAAGTATCCCATCCACATATTATTTGCAGTATTCTTTAAATCTAAAATTTCACCTTTAACATCAACTGTAATCTTTTCATTAAGGTCGCCGCATGCTACAGCTATGAAACGTACTAAAATAAATGAATCCAAATAATCCAAATAATATGAATTAATTTAAAAACATTATTAAATAATTCTTTTAAGATAAATATAAAATAATATTTATAAAAAAAAAAATTCGCCTTGAGTCGCTAAACTAAATATCATGATACGAATAAAGAATTTCTAATTTCCCTATGGTCTTTTAAATTTAAATAATCTAATAAGATAATCTAATCTTCATAATAATACCTTTAATAACTTCCCATGTTCCTGCAACATCACTAACTAAAATTTTATAACCTAAAAATCCTTCAGCACCTACTTCCAATGAGATACGATTTCTCCTTTTACTGTAAATGTCATTACTCTGGACAAATCTCAAACATTAGATATGACACGTATCTATTTCAAAAAATATAAAAAGCATTCAATGTATCAACATATAATTTTCAATGAGGTGAACGCATAATATATCTTACAAAAAAATTATATTAAATATTTGGACATAAAAGTCCTAATCTCAAAGCTTCTCCAATAAAATTTCAGATAATTTGGTTAGAAATTAATAAAGTTTACTATTTAGGAAATAGGCAGGCATTTTGATTTTGCTGTGGCGGATCACAATTCCATTATCTTACTATTTCACCTGTGGTCATTAATTCACAATGAAAAGCTGCATAAGATTAAATTTACAATGTACAGATTCTCGTTTTAAGGTATCAATTGTAAGTCAACAAATAGTAAATATAATTTCTTGTTTATATGATAAAGAGGAATCTACCCATATAAATACAATGTTCTGAATTCAATAAAGATGATTTCTAGCAAAATGAGTTGTTGGCATGTTCTGAGAGAGATCGAAATTGAGTTAATTTTAAATATAAAAATATTTTTTACCTTTATTTTTTCCGCATTTTTATCTTTTGGTATTTTTATTTTTAAAAATTTTAAAATTTATTATTTTTTTTATATAAATTCTCGATAAAGTAAATTAAATAAAGTTATGACAATTATAGAATTAAAAAAAACTAACAAAATTAATTAATTATTATTAATATTATAATAACTTAAATATGTTGTGGAAATTAGGAAGTGTTACTTTTTTAAATAACAACTTTGATAATTAATATGTCAAATAGCACAACATTTAAGTGGATTTATGATAAACAACATTATTTCAAATTTTGCAGTTCCAAATTAATAAATGAAAAGTTAATTTAAAAATGTCTAAAAAAAATAATTTAATTTCTAAAGCTTATAATTATACTATATTAAAAAAAATATTTTACTTTAAATCATTTCTTGATAAAATTTTGAAAACCTCATATTCTTCAACTGAAAATAAAGCTTCTTTAGGAATATTTAAGGGGACAGTATCATATTTACTCATAAATTTATCAGAACGAATTGGATTAGAATACGACGTACTAACCATGCAAAAACATCCATTCGCAGTTTTCAAATTGCCTCTTAAACATAAAGCATACCCAAAAGACAAATTTGAATCCCTTGGATTATTATGAATGGCAATCCAAAAATTTCTCAAAACTCTACTTAAAATAGAATTATTCAAATTTGTAGTTTTCAATGAAAATGTAAAACTATCTTGTGTATTCTTCCATTTATTTTCATCTTTATCCCACCCGAGAGGATTGAACCCTCCCAAAATTTCTCCAGTACCTTCAACTTTTAGAATAATAACTGTATTAGATACTTTATCACAAATATTGTAAATAGT